TAAAATTCTAGTTCGTATTTCTCAGAAAGATCATCATTATATAAATCTTTATAAAAATCGTGCAAACGTGTCAAATATGAAAAAATCTATTTTTTCCCAAAATACCGGCAGTCTCGATTATATAAAAAAAAAAAAAAAAAAAAAATTGTTTTATATCATATTTATATGTAAATTCTCTAATGCGGTAAAACGCACACTGGCCAATGCCCGTACCGCGCTACAATGGAGGCGAATCCCTTTTTTTTATCATTTTTTTTTTTTACTTTTTTATTTGTTGCTCTATTAATTACGAAGTCATTTCTTTTGGCACGATTTTATTTCTTTTTCTTATAATAATAAATCGATGCCAGAAAATGAAATATGAGACTTGAGATCAGCGATAATCAAATTGCACGGTCTGCATATTGCACAAGAATTTGTCACATCTCAGCAGATATCTTTTTTTTTTTTTTTTCCTTTTTTTCACATTAATGGCGCACTTAGAAGAAAACTTGATTTTTTTTCTATAAAAACTGTGAAATAGGAGAACCGCTGATTTCAAGAGATCCGATTGAATACTTCGATTCGAGCTATAATGATCACATACATATACATTCATTGAATAGCTCCGGATTGAAAGTGTTTATTTTTTATATATATATAAAAAAAATAAATAAAAATTAATCCGCTATCGATTCAGATAAAACCGAACGCGATTCGAGCATTTATGAAAAAAAAAAAAAAAAAAAAAAAAATTTGTAAACTTCACGACGATTAAGGAGACGCAACGAGACCGGAAATTGTCAACGAAATCAACGTATCCTTCCTTCGGAGACGGATAATTAACAATTTAGAAATCCAATCTATTCACATTCTTTTTTTCTCTTAAATTTTATACTCAATTTCTCTAAATTTCAAGACGCTTTATTTTTTTTTAAATACAGTTTTTTTTTTTTTTTTAAATTCCTCTAGAAATTTGTCTTATTAATTATACAATTTAAATTCCTCTAGAAATTTTCCCTTAAATATTATTTAAATTCCACTAGAAATTTTCCTAAAAAGTTCCTTGACAGAGAAATGAGTTTAAAAAAGAAAAAAAATTTTTTTTTTTCTTTTATGAATAGATTATCTAAATTGTATTTGTCGATAAGAAACAAAAAACACTTCGAATTATTGCCCAGTGAATTGTCATTATTATTTATCCTGATTATAAATATCAATGGTTTTGTTTTATCTGTAAATATTATTTCTACGGAGTATAAAAATCTACATGGAATAAAACTTTTTTCTTCTTCATCTTCTCAATATATATTTAAAAAACTGTATTCCAAAAAGTCTAAAAGCATTTATCAAAAAATCTGGGCAAAAGTTCAAAGGATTTTCTTTTTTTTTTTTTTTTTAAAGAGACAGAGAAGAGCGAGTTTTATATGAAAAATAGTTTCACGAGGACGGCAAATATAATATTAGTAACTTAATTGATAGTTATCTAAGGAAGCACACAATTTGCTAATCTTAATTTAATCCGCGATAAAATTCGGGAGCAATTTAACTTGGAAAGGAATAAATGATTAGCAAATCTGCACACGCTTAAGTAACTTAAGTTTAATACTTCAATTCTTTGGACTGTGCGTAAATAATACCTTTCACCGTCCCGGCAACAATTTTTCTTTCCTCCAGCAAAAAAAAAAAAAAAAAAAAAAGTACCCAAGTCCTCCAAAAATTAAACAAATTTTTTATTTCAAATAAAATGAAAAAAAATTTGACGTGAAATGAAAAATAAAAGGTAAAAAAAAAAATAATAAAGCAGAACTTTTCCTTTTTTTATTTTTCAAGTCAATTAAATAGATAAAGATCAAGTAAATAAAATAAAATTAAAATAAAGTAACTAAAACAAAAAATTCATCTTATTTTTCTGATAAATCAAATTGCTTTATAGAGAATTTGAATTGGCAAAAAAAAAAAAAAAAAAAAAAATTACTAATAGTTTACTCACTCGTTCATTATTCCAAGATCGAGTGACATTAACTAACAATTAAATTAACTACTAATTTAATTATCTACTTAATGGCAGTTGTAAAGTTAAATAATTCAATGCATATACGAATTCCAAAAAATTTTTTTCTGCTGGAGTGAAATATAAATAAAAAATTGTGCGTCGAACCGGATCCGAAGGAACTAAAAAGTTTTTTTTTTTTTTTTTTTTTTTTTTTTATTAAATAAAGCGTCGATGAAGTTGGCTTTGAAAGACAAAAAAGTTATTCTATATAATAATGTCACTTCGAAATGGGAAGGAAGTTTTTTTTTATAGGTGGATGACATTTGGGACTATCGACTATTTATAATAATAATTAATAATAATAATAATAATAATAATATCCGTGTATTGTTTATTTTTCATCGAAAAAGGAGGAGCGAAGGAATGATTTTTTTTTTCTTGTGCATATTTTGTTTTTTTTTTTTTTTTTCACGGAGGACTCGACGAATCGAAAGGGGGTGGGTGCGTTGGCGGCGGCGGGATGGGAAACTTTTCTCGGTTTTTTTTTTTTTTGTTTTTTTTTCATTCTTTCTTTCTTTGAAATTGTTAAAAGTTAATTTTGGTCTGGAGCGGAGATCCTACGACTCGTGGAGCGAGTTATTGCATGAAATAATCGGGATGATCTGAATCCTTTTCAAACCTCTTGGCCTCCTCCTGCATGCTCTCCTTGATCTTGAGAATGGCTGCTGACTCGTTCTGATCCTGTGAACCAACCAACACCAGCCGGTTACACCACATTATAGCTAGCGTTAATCCACAAGTGATAACCTTGCTGAATTAACTCAGCTTTTTTATTTTATTTTTTTTTTTTAATCAAGACTGCAAAGATCCTTCGATCCAACACAAATATAAGAGACATTTTATTCATTTCAACATTATTTTACAATTTCGTCATTGTTTTTTTTTACAACCTCGTCAAATATTTTTACATTTTTATGTAAATAAAAGGATTTTACATTTTTTCTTTATACGTAATTTATTTAAATATTTGTCTAATTCAGTTATTTTTTAATTTATTAACAATTTTATTTTAATAAATATATTAAATTACATTTATTAAATAAAAATAATAAATTAACAATATTTATTGAAATAAATATGAAATAAAAGAAAATTAATTAAATTAAATTAGAATTAATAAATATTAAAATAATACAAATTAAAAAGATTGAGATTAACGAAAAATTGAAAATAAATTTTCGACAATTTTCCATAAAGTAACAAATAATAATCAAATGGATTTTTTTAAAAAATAAAGGTTATTGAACGATTTTAATTTTGAAAGTAGAGAACTTTATTGTTTTAAGATATTAAAGTGTAGAATATTTTTTAAATAACAAAAAAAAAACAATAAATAGAAAATTATAATAATAATTTTTTATTTTATCGTTTTGGAAAGGAATAATTTTAAAAAACTGTCATGAATTAATTTTTGAAATTAAATTAAATATAACAATATTTTCTGATTAAAAAGCAATTTTTAAAATCTTCAACAATTCAGTTTTCAATTTTTATTTCTTTCATTTTCAATTATCATTGAATTATAAATTTTTGTCAATTTCCAAAAAGTAATTGAATTTTCAATTTATTTCAATTTCATTTGATTTTTTAAATCAAGGATTTAATTTTTTTTATTATTAATTTTTAATTTTCATTACGTAATATTTACATAATTAATTTATTCGAAGCTTAGTTTTCAATTTTTCGTTTTAATTTACTAATAAATTTCATTATTTAAATAATAAATAATGTAATTAATCATAAATTAAAAATGATTATTTTTTAAATATAAAAAATTTGATAATAGAATAATATTCAGTTATTCATCTCAAAAGTAAGTCAACGAGGATTGTACCCAACAAGACGAAACAAAATTAATTTCTCGTTATTATCAAACCAAAAAAAAAACTGTCGCATTCAAAATTAATGAGAATTTTAATTAATTAAATTAATCATTAATTATCATTGAGAATTTTTTTTTAAATTATTTTAAAATTATTATCATTGAAATTTTTTTTTTGGTAAAATAACAGATTTCAGTGTCGGATCGAAAGCGATTGGACAAGAATCAATCAAATGATACCTTGAAAATCAATTAATATCAATTGATTGAATGTTGTCCGGATATTTATTTTTTAAAAAAAAGTGTGGTGGTGGTGCGTCGGTGGGGCTGGGCTCGAAAAAAGCATTTTTTTTTCTTTTTTTTCTGGATGAAAGAATAGGAAATTGGGATTAAAGATATTTATCATCAGGGTGCTCTGACCCACAACACATGGACGTTAAATTGAAAATTATCATCGTAATGGCGCATGTCATTCGTCGCCAGCTCTCACTGCCTTTCGATAATCGCCTGCCCCCCGCACACGCACACATCACCGATTTTTTTTTTTTATATATTTGAAATCATGAAAAATAACATTAAAAATATGAATCGCGTCTACTTTTTTTTTTCTTTACTCTTCTTTTTTTTTTTTTTTTTAATATTGTCGCAGTCCACAATCGCTCGACTCACGCATCCATGTGCTACAGGTCAGTACAGGCCAGTACTATATACAGCTATCACAATTGAAAAAAAAAATTAAATTACAAAAAAGAACAAAAAAAAAAAAATAAATAAAATACCTCAAAATCGTCTTAAAAGAGAACAGAATTTTTTTTTTTACTTTTTCTCAGTTTATTACAGATCATTTATCTTATTTGTGTGATTGCAGAAATATTTTTTTCTAAATTTCAAATTAAATATCTAATTTTTCACAAATTACCATATGAATATTTATTTTTTATTATGAAAAATCATTTTGTTGTCGAAAAATGAAAAATTCACACAAAATAAAAGAGAAGTGATCTGTAAAATGAGATTTTTTTTTTTTTTTTTGAAAAGTTGCGAGTGAATCGTTGGTTTAAAACAGATAGTCATATATATATACTCTGGTAGCCAGCACCCTGTGGGTTTTTTTTTTGACAAATAAAAATGAAAACTCAGTAGTCTCAGTGTAACAGGATTACATTTATTGTCTCGATCTCCCTTTTGCGTGTAGGCATATATTTGTTATCAAGTTCACCAGGCGTAATATATTTTTACAACGTGGGAGTATCCAAGTAAAATGATGGTTTTTTTTTCAAAAAGGTACCAAGGCGCGTTAAAACAATATATTTATTTATTTATATAGGCGTTAGGCGCATCATCAAGAATTATTTAATAATTAATATTTTTCTTAAATAAAAAAGCAGAACAAAAAAGATATTTTTTTCTTTTCATTTTGTTCTTGGTACTCTTGACAATTGAACGATATTTTTTCTTAATCTAGCGAGTACTTTCGTCTTACTTTCTGACTTTTAACATCATCAGTATCAACATTATCATCATCGCTCTCTCTCTCTCTCTCTCAATCTCAATCTCAATCTCTCTCTCTCTTTCTCTCTATCACTTTCTCTCATTATTTATTTTAATTTTTATTTTTATTCAACACTAATAAATTGAGCACGAACCTTGGAACCTAAGCGTACCTTTCACGTCGAGTATATTAAGTCAACACGTTTAAGTTTTTTTTTCTCTCTTCTTTAGGAAAAGTGCGCAAACCAGAGTATAAAAAATGCATTCAACACAAATTGAGACCCGATTTATCATTTAATTTTTCTTTTGCGAAAAATAATTTTTTTTTTCTAAAATTACTTATTATCAATTAATAATAATAATAATAGTAATTATATACTTATTTTTATTAATTTTATATTAATTATAATTTAATAATAATTAATATTATTTATTTATAAATTTAATTTTAAAATTAATGTAAATATTTACAATAAATCAGGGTGTGATTAAAAATTAGTAATTAAAATTACTAATTTCTTTCTTTCCCTATTGAAAATAAAATTAAGCACAAAATGAGTATTTTTAATCTTAAAACAAAAATTTGGATCTATTAATCCAAAATTTCGAGAAATTAAATAAAAAAAAAAAAGTAATTAAATTAATTTAAATAAAAAAATTTGTAATTGACATAAATTATAATTAAAAATTTTAAATATATATATATACAAATTGACGAGTCAAAAATGATTCACAGAATTTTGCCAATAAATTTTTTTTTTCTATTTTGTATGATTGGCACGCGCACTTTTCATCATTTTGTTACATAAGTTGATTAATAATAATTATTTTTTGTAATTTCGGGTTAAAAATGTAACTAATAGCAGCACAGCATAGTCCGGTACTGACCTATAACCACCTGCGGACGGATAAATTTCCATGTATCCTATTTTTGTTTTCATTTTCTTTATAAAAAAAAAAAAAAAAAAAAAAAAAAATCCTGCTATGAACCTTTCTCTCTCTTTCTCTCCTTCTACACTCACTCACTTAGGTTCAGTACTCACACTGTCTACGATGTTTGTATTCATATAAAAATAGTAATGTTTCTTTACATAATATTCCTCTTGCTTTGTCAATTGAACGGTATTACCTCGGGCTTGTATTTTATTTTATTATTTTTTTTTTCATTTGTTACTTGCTTCGCAAACATCATCGACTTACCATATTTTATTGACGGAATTCGGATTTTTCATGATAATACAACAATGAAAAATTCGATAAGTATTATCTCGTTCATATTATATAAAGGAAACGCGAAGGAATCAACATTTTCAATAGCATTTGACAAAAAAAATAATATAATAAACTTTGTCAATTCCAAAAAACTCATTGTTTAAATCTATTATAACTAGACCGTGTAATCGAGACTAAATTGTAATATTTGAGTATCAACTGATCACAGACTGATTTTGCTTTCCTTTTTTTTTTTTTTTTTTTTTTTTAAAGCACAAGTTTTCACGACTCTAACACGAATTTTTTTATAAGGTTCTTTTCCATGGACAGTTTTGATAAAATTATTTAAAAAAAAGTTTTTTAATAACTTCAATCATTCATAATAAATTAATAATTAGAGTAATTAACAACAAATAACAATTTATAATTTAGTTTATATATATTTTTCTCGAACAAAAGAGAAAATATTTGGAAACTATCGCTGATGAATAAAAACCTTAAAGATAAATTTTTTTTTTTTAAATATTACACGAATGCAACACTTCTAATTATTTCAAGTCAACGTTTTTAATAATAATTACAGAATTTTTCCCCCTCTAAGCGAGAATATTTTTTAATTATTCAAGTCTTGTCATTTTAATTGAAGCGAATTGATTTACAATCAATAAAAATCAATATTAAAAAGTTAATATTTATTAATATTAACAGTAATATTTATATTTATTAGTATTAACCGTATTATTAATATTGATAAATTGATAATATTAATATTTTTATCAATAGTAAATACCAATATTGATTTCAATTAACTACTTCACAAATATCAATTAATATTATATCAATAAAAAATTGACAAGCACTTTTTATTTACAATATTTTATTTTCATCACTGTACTTAAAGAATATGTACAAAAAAAAAGAACTAACCGAATTCAAATTGAGCAAATTGTCGGGATTTGTCGTGTGTTGCGAAGCAAACAACTATTAATATTATTTATTTCGTCAAGTAAATGTCGATGCATTCGAAAATTTTGCACTCTTTTTTAATATCTGTATATATATATATATATGTATAAGGGAGAGTGATTAATTATGAGCAAAACACAGTGGAGGGACTCTTGTCTTGAATTCAACCGGATTTATCGTTTCATTCTAGAGTCGAGTTCGTTAAAAAATTGTTTTTTAAGACTATAAAGAAACTTGATTTGAGCTTTTATTTCAGGTACGTGGAAGTTGAATTCGTTTTTGTTGAGTTGAAAAACAAAATCAATAGTAAAACGAATCAAAATAAAAAAAAATAAAATAAAAAAGAATAAAAATCGAAAAATACAATTAAAAAGTAATAATTAAACTAGAATGTCTAAAAAAAATAACCTACAAAAAAATAAAATACTTAAAAAAAGGGGATTTTTTTTTTTTGCTTTACTTTTTTTTTAAAGTAATGATACCAAAGCTCGTAGTCGTCGTCACGATATTCTCTCATAACTCTAGAACGAAAGAATAATCCAAACGTGACTGAAGCAAGCTATAGTATCGCTTCTTTTTTTTTTCTTTATATTTATTAAAAAAAGGAGTAAAAAAATCGATTAAATATTATACGACCACATCACAGTAGCAGACAGTCACGAGTAAACAGCCTTTCGTTTTCCAGGCACCTTCGCTTAAAAGCTAAATCTCAAATAAATATAAATAAAAAAAAAAAGTTGAATACCGACGATAACTTAAAAAAAACCACGTAAATCTAGTATTTAAAAAAAAATAATAATAATTAAAAATAACCATTGTAAAAAAAATTAATCCTAATTTGCAACCTTGAGAGTATTAGTGAAGCATATATATATATATATATATATATATATATATATATATATATATTTATATATTTATATATTATAAATTGTGTATGGCGATAGTGGCAATTAAGTAACTTTTTTTTTGTATCAATTACTTGCGCAAATAGATTCTTAAGTGCTAGGCCTATTTCAATTGGGTGCAACTGACAACAAATGCTTAATGAGATGTGATCAACACGATAAGTTTTGCTTTTTTTTTAATTTTATCAGTTTTTCTTTTTGTTTTGTTGCACAAAAGTGGGAGGGTGCCTCGACAACCGTTTATTTATTTATTTTTTTTTGTGCAAATCTACGTACGTAAATGTGCTCGTTAGCGATTCGCATGATCCTCCGCATTATGCGAGATTAACCAGGAAGATGCAGGCCAGGACGAATTGTTTAAAAAAACTGTCGAAAATAGAGAACATGCATTTATGCGATTACTTTCAGATATGACAAACAAACATAACCACGCTCACTGAACACACAAACTCTGCGAATCAATATCCAAAATTATCAGGAACAACCTAATTTTAACCTACTTTTTTTTTTGTTTTTAAGAGAAAATAATTTTACAAAAAGAAAATAATCATCTGTCATTCAAATTAAAAAAAAAAAAAAAAAAAAAAAACGATTCTCATAAAAATTTTCTCTTAAAACTGATTTAAAAAATTTCATTAATATTTTTTCCACATATGTAAAATTAAAAATTAATCAAATTTTTTGTGAGAATCATCTTTTATTTACAAAAAAAAAGTCGAGTTTTCACTTTCTCAATTCAAAAAGGTACATATTTTTAATTGAATTGCAATTTTTAAAATCAATAAAAATTGAAAAATCGACTTTTCTTATCGTATTCACTTGCAACAATTTCATTGTCAAAATTGAAAAGATTCTAAAAAAGTAAATGCACTATTTATTGTTTTTTTTTTTTTTTTTATAGTTTCTCATTCAGAAAAAAAAGAGGATAATTATCATTTCTTTCTTAAAATCTTTTCAGTACTTACACAACTTTTTTTTGTTTCGTTGCCAAGAAATTGTCGCATGTGAAAAAATTTCGAAATTCAATATAATAAGCATTGTTCACTCTCAAAAAAGAGTAACGGACAAAATAACACACTCGCACATATCCCACACAATTGTTGTAAAAAAAAAAAAAAAGTTTCTTGTTTTGTCCAAAGAAAACGTTAAGTTATAATTTCAATATGGGCCAAAAAAAACCTTGATATCTATGAACTCGAAAATTCATTTACAATTTTTTTTTCATTATTTTTTTTTTCAGGCGTAAAAGACAAAAAAAAGAAGGAAGTAACAAATTATTTTCATTCGTTCAAAAATATTCTCTTACACTCATACACCATAAAAAAGTAGATTGTTGGCGATTTTATTACTTTTTTTTTTTGTTCTCCAACAAAAAAAAAAAAAAAGGCGACGCAACTCTTTAGACAAATTCATCAAAAAACCTGCTGTTACTCACGTTTTCTCCAGGACCACCAAAACCACCAAGATTGTAATCGCCCATTCCACTGCCACTGTCTTCTCGCGGTGTTCCGGGACCGCCATTCGCTGGACTATTTTTCATACCGTCAAGACCATCACCATTCATTACTGGACCCATTGTATTAGGTCCCATTGGACCCATTGGTCCACCCTCTGGACCTCCACTCATTGGGAAATCCTTGAAAAATAAACATTCAATTCAATAAAAAATAATAAATATTATTATTTAATATAATAATTATTATTAACAGTTAATTGAATATTGTAAGTTTTATTTGACTGGGAAATTTAAAAAAAATATTTTCTCCCAAAATAAGAAAAAAAAATCTCTTACTCCAGGCATATTTCCTCCAGGTACAGGTTTCATCATTGTGTACATATTTTCTCCTCCACTATTACTGCTGTCCTGTGGACTTGGCATTATTGGCGTTCCTGGACCTGGTGGTCCACTTGAACCCGGAGGTCCGCCATAATTGCCCGGCGATGACGAAGAATAATTCATCGGCTGAGAAAATTATTGAAATCATTTTTAATTAGAAACAATTTTTCATTAATTTAAAAAAAAAATTCCTTATTTTAACAAAAGGAATTTTTTTTTTTTAATCGTACCGTGGATGTATTAGGTTGCCATTGAGGTCGTCCTCCTGGTCCAGCCATACTCATGGGTGGCATTCCAGGTCCTCCTGGACCACCTGGACCTAAACTACTATTAGGTGGTGGGCCTCTCATTCCTTGTCCATAACTTCCAGGACCCATTGGTCCTCCCATTGAAGGTCCTCTTGGTGGTGGATTCATTCTTGGTGTCATGTGATTCATACCCGGTGGTCCTATATACAAAATATTTTATCAATAAACAATATTCCATATTGTAACAACTGTAAAATTGTTTTTGTTGTTGTATTTATATATATATATATATTTTTTTTTATTCTTTTACACTACAAGTTTGTGCTAATCACTAAACATTTTGTACTCATGGCAAAAGATGATCCGTATTTAAATTATCAAATAGATTCAAAAATATTTCAATTTTTTTTTCAAATGAATATTAAAAATAAATTTGAAAAAAGTTTTCTTCTTTTTTTTTATTGAAAAGAAATATAAGAATCATTTTTTGCCATAGCATAGACGAAGTCAAGCAAAACGGCTAACATGCTAGATTAGCGGTAATTTGATTCAATTATTTTTTTTTCTCACCAAAAAAAAAGAAAGAATTAACAGCGCAAAGCTTGTGCTAAAGATTGGTACATAAATGCAATGAGCTTTAAATAAAAGCGTTTTTGTGATTTTTGTTTTGAACACTGAAAGACTTTATTTCAAAAATTAATATAATTTATTTCAAAATGAGAAGAGTAATAAAAAAACTCTTATAATTGTATCAAAATTATAATAAATAAATATTTTTCTTCGTAATGCGCGTTTCCAAAATCGAATTTTATTTACGAGCGCTGCGTTATCATTAAGGTTATTTCACATTAAGGATATCAAAATCTACCTTACCAACTGATAGTAAAACAATTTTTTTTGGAAAAGGAAAATATAAAAATTTACCGACATAGGAATCTACCTTACCAACTGATAATAATTACCGACAGCTGGTAAAGCATTTTTTAAAAAAATAATATACAAAATTACCGACATAGAAATCAACCTTATCGACTGCTGGTAAAGCAGTTTTTTTAAATAACATAAAAAATTACCGCCACAGAAATCTACCTTACCGACTGATGGTAAAACAGTTTTTCCGAAAAGAAAAATATAAAAAATTACCAATGTAAAAATCTACCTTACCAACTGAGAGTAAACCAGTTTTTTTGGAAAAAGAAAATATAGAAATTACCGACATAGGAATCTGCCTTACCGACTGATGGTAAAACAGTTTTTAAAAATATTTTCATTTCTTCGAGAAAAACTGCTTTAGTATCAGTCGGTAAGGTAGATTCCTATGTTAGTAATTTTTTATATATGTGACGCGATCTGAAGAAAAGGACCTTAGAAGCAAAAAATTATAGGTTACGTTTAGAAATTTTAAAGTGAAAATACACAAAGACGTTCAACTCGTAATGCAAACTAATGATATTTAGGTCTTCATTGCATCCAAAATATTCAATAAAAACTGATTTCAGTTTTACAAAAACAAAAATAAACTTTTAGTTCAAGTAAAACTATTGTAAACATAACCAATAATTCATTTGCTTCTAAGGTTCCTTTCTTCAGATCGAGTCACATATATATTTTTCAGAAAAACTGTTTTACCATCAGTCGGTAAGGTAGATTTCTATGTCGGTAATTTGTTCATATTAGCTTTGTCAGAAACTATACTAAATAGTACAAAAACGGAGTTTTTCTCATTTTGTAACAAATTATATTATTTTTTGAAATAAAAAGACTTTTAGTGTAGCAATTATTGACAAGTAGATGTTATGATGTTATTTTGTTATTTACTAAATGAATTTCAATTTAATTACTGCATTATAAATATTTAATTACGTTAGAAAACAATGATTAACATTTAAAGTTTCATTGACAAATAAAAAGGTCTAATATTTCAATAATTAAGTATTCAATTTACATCGGATCGATTTGTTTAAAAAATTGCATATAATTGGAAGAAAAATTAATTATATTATTATTTGATCAAAAAATCAAAATAAAAAAAATATTTTGCGAGTATTTTGCTTTGTGTGTATCATTGTATAATGAAGCATTTGTGATAATAAAAGTCTACGAATTAAAATATAAGACGAAAATAAAAGAACAATTGTGACATTTACAATTGCTTTTGTAAAAAAAAAAAACACCTTGCCAAAGGAGGTTATAGAGAAAAAAAGGAGAAAACTGATGGAAGAGTGAGAGTGCGGATGTTGGATTGTGCAACGAACCTGCTGCATGACTTATTGGAAAGAACCTTTTTTTTTTAAAGCACTGATTAAAATAAAATAAAATAATGAAATCTTTTTCAAAATACACATGTAAAAAAAATGATACAATTTGCTAAACAAAAAAGAAAATAAAAATTTTTCTATTTGTCGACACATTAAGAGAAAAACAAAAATTTCAAAAATGACTTCACCTGCGATAAGTTTTGATGAACAATAAAAAATAAAATAAAAAAAAATAAAAAAAAAAATAAAATCAATCGTCATGCCGGATGCTGAATATTATTTCGGACGAGGATATACATATAATATATATATATATGCGGCAAAAAGACAAAAAGCTAGTGCGAATTTCTAAAAAAGGAGAAACAAAAATTGTATAAATTAGAGGCGTAGAGGATAGAAATTAAGACAATATTTATATATAGAGGCCTGTTCTAAAGTCATGTCAGTGTGATTCGATTGCTGGGTTGCTTCCTACCTTGCCACCCTACAAACTCTCCAGCTTCGCCTGAGGAACACAAGAGCACACATTAGTACTGCAGGTAGGTAAGGTCAGATCGATGGCAGTAAAGTCTAGTTATTTTGCAGTGGCATAAGAAAATCTTTCTGAAATATACTTTCAGTAGCAAAAAAAACATTATTTTCTCAATAATCCTTCACAAGGATTAATCCTTCATATTGTCAAACAATATAATTTTCTTTTCTCTTAAAAAAAATGTCTCTCTTTTTATTTTGAATAACACCTGGTGAAGGATTCATAGTTGTAATTACTGTAAAATTAATTAGTAGCATACATTCTCTTTCCGTGTATACGTGGAAATGTCAGAGGTTTATTATTATTTTTTTTTTTTTTAATTAAAGAGCGGTAATTAATTAATTTTTTCTTGTCTCAAGCCAAGTGGTAAAAAGCCAAATTATGTGACACAATTTTTAAGTTTAGGAAAAAAAATTCTTTTCCATCTTGCAAAAATTTTTACTAGTCAAAAATATTGACTTGTAAATTTTTTTTTTTTTGAATAAAATATATTTTGAAATTTTTCTCTTTGGATAATAGAATCTAAAAATGCAAAAATCTGTTAATAAATAAAAATTGCTGTTTTTTTGTAGGAAACAAATTTTGAAAAGTTGAACTTTTATTTTTTAATATTTAAACGAGAGTATACCACTGTTTTTCCACTAGACAGTATTTTTTTTTTTTTTTTAATCCAATCCACATCACAGCAATCCAAACCAATTTTAATATTATACTCATTTATTGCTGTGTGCTTTCTCTTACGCATGCGTGTATGCCATTCTCCTTTCACAAAATGTTTCGTCAATGCCAAGAAAACGGGAAGTATCATCGCAAATACGAACGCTTACCTTGTCTTGTGGGATCCATACTGTTCGGCATCATCGGTTGTCCTGGTGGCTGAAAAAATTAAATTTACTTATTTTATTTCCTTTTAAAAATATATTTCTGTTTTTTTCTTGAATTATATTTCATTTTAATTTCAAATAAAAATTTTTTTTAATTAATTTAATTCAATTATTTTTATTGAAAAAAAAAAATTAAATAGAAATACTTGTTTTCTTACCCCATTAAATTCATTTCCCATTTGTGCCAATCGCACTCCTCCTGGTCGTGGTCCAGCTGGAAACCTTGGTCCCATATACTGAAATGAAAGATATAATTTTTAATTTACATTTGTTTTGAAATATTTCATTATTCTTGTAAAAACTAATAAAAAAAATAAGCCTTATGTTGTATAAAAAGTTTTTGTTAATAAAGCCACAATAAGTTAATGACAAAGATCAGACAGATTAGACATTGTAAGCATCAGACAAACACTAATATGAAACTTAATGGACAATAAAAACAGTATTTTTTTCAATTTTCACAAAAAAGCCCAATTTTTTTTTTTTTTTTTTTTGCTTCCCCAAAAAGTGTCAAATTCGTATTATTTATAAAAAAAAATCTTTTTTTTAATCTCACACAACAAAAAAAAACCGATTAATGATTATTGTTTACAGAAACAAAACAAAAAGACGAATAAAATGGGGATAAGACTGATTTAAAAAAAGTGAGAAGATGCATGGGATTAATAAAATGCCAATCTCTAACAGTCTAATCTTACCTTATCATGTTGTTTTCTTCGCTTTAACCCAGTGTACAAATTAATATTTCTTAAATTTAAATATTGATTTTATCTTACCTTAACCATCGACCACGGAAATATTACACAACTGATTCGTGCCAAATGCAGTACAAATTTAGAGATATAAATATATATAAAAAATAATGCTAAATGAAATTTGAAGTGTTCTTTTTTGGAAAAATTGTTTTTTTTTTTTGAAGCTTTGTATTTTTTATTTTATTTATTTAGTGATTATTCTGATTCAGCACAAATCGGTTCAAAAGTTTTGAGTCAATTTTTTTAACCCTTTGAATTAAAAATTTATTTTTCTATTCATGATAAATTATTAACTTTTCAATTTTTTGAAATTCAATTATATATTTCAGTGCTTATTAATAAACTTTTGCATTTCAATCTCGACACTTTGATTCAGGTTCCTGACATTTGGAATGATAAGAAATTTTACTTTTTTGCAATTTATTTTCCACATTAAATTTTTAATAAATATTTAATAAAATTGGCCTATTAAAAATCATTAAAATTTTTACTATCGAAACAAATAAAATTTTAATTAATTTTAATTTAATGTATTACAATTATTAAATTATATAATTTATATTCTATACAAATTATAATTATTACAGAAATAAATTTATTGCAGTACTTTTTTTTCATTAATAAAAATTTGTATTAAAATTTTTGGTTTTCAAATTAACGTCAGGTGTACTTAAATCAAAATGATTAGCGCAAAAATAAATTTGATTTTATAATATAAAAAGCCAAAAAATAGAAAGCGAGATCGAATGAACGATTTAATGCGATCGATGGTGCGAAGTGTAATGATTTATAATTTAAAATATTTTTTTCAGGGCGTCTACTAATTTTGTTAAGACTAAATTATAAAAATACTTCTCCTATAAAGAAACCTTTTTTTTCTATAAAATATATAGTTAAAATTTGAATTAAAAATTAGAATAAAAAATTGTATTTGACAAAAAAATTATTTTACCAATAAAATATTAAATTTAAATATTAAATTTATTAAATAAAATATTTAAATTTTAGGTGTTTTATGAAATTTTCAATTAGTAGACACCCTGAATTTTTTTTTTTTTTTTTTTTGAAAGAGTGAATTTATTAATGAGTGAGAGTGTAGGTGTTGAATGAGGCTTACCTGAGCGGACATCATCTGCGTGTGTGGGGGCGGGGGTGGCTGGGGGTGCTGGGGGGATGGCTGTGATGAGGGGTGTGTGGGCGGAGATGGTCGCATTGTCGAGTTGTTCTGCAACAAGCAACGCAAACGACAGACATGTAGCAACACTGCGATCCAGGCAACAGCTAGACTAGAAGGCTTTGGGATAGATGTGTTAAGTACCAATAAAAAAAGGAAAGTTTCAGAATTTCACAAGGTCCATTCTAGCAAAAAAAAAAAATAGTTATCAAAAATCCTCTTTCTCTCTCTCTTTACCTCTCACAAAATTCCCAAAGATTCCCAGTTCTATTTACACATTATACTTATACTATTTATATACAGAAAGTGGAAAATGGGAAAATTATCAACTCTTGCTGTTTTTTTTTTTTTTTTTTTTTTTAGTTAGGAGAAGAAAAATATAATTAATAAATATTTGACCCTTTTTACACAACTTGAGTGTGAGAAGTTTCAAAAAAAAAAAAAAAATACCACTCACATAATTTCAAAATAAGGTGAATATAAAAACATTTCTTTTTTTCTGTAAAAAAAGTCTTGACAGATCAAGAAATCTTGTTTTGATAAGAAATAATTTTTTTGTTGTAAAAAAGAAATCAGATTTTCCCTTTTTCTCCGTCATTCGCTTATAAATATTTATCATTATTATTATTGTTATTATTATTATTAACATAACAAGTGGTTGTAATGAAAATTTATCAATTTTTGAATGATTGCAAATAAATAATAATTCAAACCACTTATTATGTGTTCTAAGTCTACACTGTCTAAGCAGGCTTCAAATTTTTTTTTTTTTTTTAAAGTGCGATGGAATTTCTATATTTATTTTTAATTTAAGACAATGCTGAACTTTACAATGTTTCGAAAAAAAAATTTAAATACTTTATTTAAAATAATTGACAAAAATGAAAATTAATTTTTATTAAAAATAATAAAAAAAATTTTTAATTTCTTTTGTAAAATTCAGCCTCATTAGCTGCGACAATAATAATTTGTCATCAGTTGAATGTTGTGAAACATCTTACAAATCATTTTCTCTTATATTTTTTGCCCCATTTTTTTTTTTTTAATGAATTAACTAACACTATTCTAACATTTACGTAATTAATTTGTTTTTTTTTTTTTTGGACAGAACTTGTACACCCGAAACAATAATAGATACACGTATGCACAAATAAAGAGTTAGAAACATAGCAGATAGAAAATAAGTACATAAATACAGAATAGACAAGCATGACGTGAAATGTTTAAAAACAATTTTTTTTTCTCAATAAATCCCTCTTTTTTTATGCCCGTGTTAATGATAAAATTTATCCCCTTTTCCACTGACTAATAACCCATTTATTCTTCAAAAAAAAAATATATATATATATATATATTGCCTTCTTTCATTCTCGTTTACACCAGAAACTAATAATTTTCTTAATGTGCATTTTTTTTGTATCCATATCTCAAAACACCATTAATTTAAATTATATTAAAAGTTCGTCCGAATAAATAAAAATTTGATTTTCATTAATTTTCCAAAAATTTTTTCAAATTCTTTCCAATTGAAAATTTATAATATGTTTCAAGTTATTCATTTTGGATGATATTTAAAATTTTTTAATACAAGTATATAAAATATACGTATGTAAAACTGATGTAAAAACGCGTGCATCAAAAGAGCTGAGAAAGGCATATTATGAATGCACATATGATGCAAATGCATATATAAAGAATATGGTATAATGGTGGCTTAGCAGCTACGATTTTATGCACAATACTTGAAAAAGTGAATCGACCAAAAATTATTACAAAAAAAAAAAAAAAAAAAAAAAAAAAAATTAAAAAAATGAACTTCTCTTTTTTGCGAGTGGTCATTTCAAATATTAACCATAGGCAAAATGAGAGGGATATTTAATAACCCTTCGTAACATATTGTATCATATATAAATATGATACAAATATTTTTTTCAAGTATCATAAAAAAAATTCACTTTTACAAACGTGTATATATAATAATGAACAAGAATTAATGGACGTATGCAAAATGCTCGGTATGAATTTTGATTTGATATATAAAATAAGTAAAATGAAATTCTTTTTTTTTTTTGTCTCAAAATGCAATTTGGAGGAAACTTACGGAAAAGAATCCTGGTGGTATTGGACCGCCAGGCATGCCTTCATTCGGTGGCATCTGTCCAAGTGGAGACGGTGCTGGTCCGGCATTCTAAAAAAAAAATAATAATAAAAAATCTCAAAAATTCAAGTTTTTCTACTTTTAAATTATTTTTTTTTTTATTTATTTGTAAAATTAATTAAAAATTATCCTTCTAATAATTTAAATTCTTTTTTCCAAAAAAAATATTATTTGCAAATTAATTAATTTATGAATCACTAGATTAATTAAAAGTATTGAAAATTATTATTTGTTACTTACGTGGGCAATACCATTAACTCCATAACCACCACTATTCACGAATCCCTAGGGATGATAAAAAAAAAAAAACAATATTTGTAATTAAAGACGTTCGATAAGTGCATTATCTTTTTTAAAAATGAAATTATAAATGCAAAAACAATTTTTTTTTTATTATTAAAATAATTATTGATTTAATAATTATAAAATGATATACGAACATAGTCGTGGAAAGCTTTGGCTTCACTGCTGTGTTCACAGGAATCTCGACGTTCAGGAGCTGCGCAATACAAATCCCAAAACACACTGAAAGGAGAACAAAAAATTATGTATCAAAAAAAAAAAAAAAAAAAATGTTATAATTACAAGATTAAATAAAAAAAAGTAAAATTTTTTTTTCAAAAATTCACATACCACCACCAAGAATGTAAAAATCCTGGAGGCTCTCCAAGGGTTATATTTTTCTCCCATCGAATCTGTAAATAAATTAACAAATTTTTTTTTTAATATTATTTTTAATTAAAAAGTGAACCCTATAAGATTATTAAATTATTAAATTTAATTAATTAATTTATTAAATATTAAAAAGAATTAAAATAAAATTTGTGTAAATTTTACATGAATAAAAAAAATTACCGAAAATAATTAACTAACAATTTATTAATAAAAATTGAATGTTTATAATTTAACAATTTTATTTTTATAATTGTAAAAAAATATATTAAAAAAACCAAAACACATAAATGTAATAGTTACTTTAAATCGTAAAGGAAGTTACCTCTGATAAGAAGGCTTGTGCTGCTTTTTGGGCTCCTACGTGAAGTAAATATTCATAGACATATAAAGCTAACCTGAAAATTAAAAAAAAATCAAGAATTAATAAACAAATATTATAATTGTTTGAAATTTATTTCATATAAACTTTAATAGAATTGAATTTGATTTGAATTTATTTTTTTATTTAAGCAAAAATTTATATCATAAGATCTTATAATCAAAATTAAAAGTCAATTTCCAATAAAATATATAATGAAAATAAAATTAAAATTTTCCAAGAAAGTATTATTTGAAATTTCTATGAGTAAACCTGTGATCCTCATTTAAGAAACAATAGAAAATAATTAGACAAGTATTGTTGACCAATGACAAAGGGTTTCAGAACAAAAGTAAGAAATCACTCAAACTGAAAGAATATACTTATTGAAAATCTGGTTAAGAATATCATTTAGCTACACTGAGGGAAAGTATATATATATATATATATAGTTACAAAATATTAGTATATGTTTTACTTAAGTATAATATTAAAAAAATTTAGAAAAAATTTGTTAAGAAAACAAAATTTTCCAATAAAAATTTTAATCCTAATAAAAATGATACCAATTTTATTATAAAAGTTGGGAAACATATTTCAAGTATAAAAATAATTTTATAAATTTCAATATAGAGATAAATATACTTCTTTCTTTGGATATAAGAAACTAATTCTTAATTTAAGAATATATTTATAAGAAGCATTTTAAAAATACTTTATTCTTACTATATGATTAGAATGTTTTCAGTGTAACATTATTTCTGACAAAAGCATGAATATTATTTATACTAAAGTATAAACTATAGAATTTATTTTTTATTTTACAAATAAAAGAATTTTGAATCAAATAATTTTTATGCTTTTATCAAAAAAATGTAGATTTAGCATAGCTATCTCGGTGTAGGGTTTGTATTTGATGATGCAAAATGTTCGTTTTGTTTACATTTTTTTTTAAGTAAATTTAACTATAAGAATAAATATGTTATTAAATCAAAAACATTTCTGTCATGATAATGAGAATTATTAATTCAAAATCAAATATTATAGGATATAAACTCTGGAGCAAAATACTTTTGAATAAATAATTTCTATATTTTTGGCAGAAATATTTGAATGTATAGTTTAATTTGAGTCTACCAATAGCTACAGTAACTAACTAAATGTTAACATTAACTAAATAAATTGTTATGTTAACTAATTAAATATTAACATTAACTAAATAAATGGTAACGTTAACTAACTAAATAATAATATTAACTAAATTGTTACTTTGAATAACTAAATAAATTGTAACACTAACTAACTAAATGTTAACTTTAACTAAATAAATGGTAACGTTAACTATCTAAATAGTAATAATAACTTAATTATTACTTTAAATAACTAAATCGTTACATTAAGTAACTAAATGTTAACATTTACTAGATAAATGGTAACGTTAACTATCTAAATAGTAATAATAACTTAATTGTTACTTTAAATAACTAAATCGTTACATTAAGTAACTAAATGTTAACATTTACTAGATAAATGGTAACGTTAACTATCTAAATAGTAATAATAACTTACTTGTTACTTTAAATAACTAAATCGTTACATTAAGTAACTAAATGTTAACATTTACTAAATAAATGGTAACGTTAACTTACTAAATGTTAAAATTAAGTAAATAAATTGTAACATTAACTAACTAAATGTTAACTTTAACTAAATAAATGGTAACGTTAACTAAATAAATGTTAACATTAAGTAAATAAATTGTAACATTATCTAACTAAATGGTAACATTAATAATTTTAGCAGCGGTATATGTTAGTAACTAAATACTATTCTTAACCAATTGTTTCTCTTCCTAAAGTGGTAAATGAGATATCAAATGGACGCCTTGAGGTAAAAATTATAAAATCCTCCAAAAATCAAGCAAGAAAAATTTCTCAACAGAACTTGTTTAAATTCTTCAACAATAGAAATCCTTTTCTTCGATAAAAACAAAGAAAATTGGAGTTTATATACACCGTTCAAGATCTATATAGTCAGTAGTAGTTAATAAGTTTTATGGAATAAAAATGGAATGAGTACTGTTAGCAGCAATCCCGGAACTGTGCTTGCCCTGGCTCAGGGGTGCTCAGTCGGAACATTCGTCACGTGTTAGCGGATGACTGACAGTCAGTTTAAAAGCTAAACACCGTGTAGTATAGTTCAAATCGCGAGAAAGCAGGTTATCACAACGACTCACTGGTGAAACGGGCATTAACTATAAGACCGCTTTATAAAACCATTCAGGATTGCTGCACGATGAAGTTTTGTTGTACCATAAAGTAAGCGAGCGGATGAGAGAGGTCGCATGGCACACTTGGATCGAATTGAAAGAGAGCACGTCGAAAATTTCCGTCCCGCTTACTTCAACTCTTCTATTTCTGCGCTCCCATGATCTCCTTCTCTCTCTTTCTCTCTCTCACCTTATACTGTACAATTACTTCTACGATATTATTCCTCCAAGTCACAAAATGCATTTCAAATATTGTTGACAACTAAATTTTAAAATCCTATTAGTAAATTAATTTTAGTTGATAATCGTAATTTCTGATTCTATTTGATCTTAATGTTTATGGTAAATTATGACCCTTTTAATTGCATTCAAGGTCAATAGTGTAAGTAAACACTACACTTGTTGACAACAAACATTGTTCGCAAAGGTGGTTTGTTAAATCACCTAGTATAATAAGTGCTGTTAACCCTAAACCAGTAACTGCATAATCCTGATCAGAATTCCTGTACAAAAATGTACAGAAAAAGTAAACTCAACATTATTTTACTACTAACATCTTTACTATCATTTTACAAGAAGAAAGTAGAATAATTTCAGTTTACGTTTTTTGTTTACGTCCTCATTCTAGGGATGCTCACAAAATAAGAGACTCTGACCATGATTTTAATAACTGTTTCTTCGCGAAAGTATGGAAAATAAATTTATGTCGATTTTAGAACATAACTTTTCCAGATTTACAAAAATTCAACAGTCTCGTGCGCATCCCTAATTCAAATTACTGATGGTATTAAGGGTTATCAACCTAATGGAACTGATTGTTAGTAACTGTGGTTTTAACCGGATTAGTAAATGTTTCTTGTGGCCCGAAAGGCCTAGTTAGTAAATGTTTTTGATGGTTTGAACAACCAGATTAGTAAATTCTTGTGGTTTAAACAAGATTAGTGAATTATTTGTGATTTAAACAACCAGAACAGTAAATTCTAGTGGTTTAAACAACCAGATTAGTGGATTTTTGTGGTTTAAACAACCAGAACAGTAAATTCTAGTGGTTTAAACAACCAGATTAGTGGATTTTTGTGGTTTAAACAACCAGAACAGTAAATTCTAGCGGTTTAAACAACCAGATTAGTAAATTCTTGAGGTTTAAACAAGATTAGTGAATTTTTTGTGGTTTAAACAACCAGAACAGTAAATTCTAGTGGTTTAAACAACCAGATTAGTGGATTTTTGTGGTTTAAACAACCAGAACAGTTAATTCTAGTGGTTTAAACAAGATTAGTGGTTTTTTGTGGTTTAAACAACCATATCAGTAAATTCTTGTGACTCGTAAAGCCAGGTTAGTAGATAAGAGAATTAATCATGATAATCAGGTTACAAAAAAGAGGGATAAAGGATTGATTTAAGGAAAAGTTTGAAAATTATTTTTACTTACTTTTCCCTGGCTTGAGCATCCGAGGGAACAGCGGATCCTTTTGCTTTGGTGTACATCGCAACGGCTTGGTAATCCTCGCGACGTAAACACACGAACGTGTCGGCTCGTTTTCAGTAATGTCCGACAAGGACGTGGAGTGGGGACACACAGGCAAAGGCGTCTGGGTAAAAAAGGCACACGCGCCCGGTTTTTTGCACTACTCGCGTCACTTGTACGTTGTTGTCACACCCGGTGTTTTTGAATCTACAAGTTCAAATTCAAAAAGCCGCATGGCTCCCGTCTTGCGTTGCAAATACGAGAAACGCGCGCCGTCATCGCTCTAGACGACACTGCCTCTCTCTCTCTCTTTTTCTCACTATATAGTTACACTATTCTGTTCCAGGTTCTATTTTTATATCAATATTTCCGATTAGTTTTCGTCACTTAATATTGTTTCCAACTTGGTAAATTTATGTCGCCGCCCTCGAGACTCTTTTGCTTTTTTTTTCGCGTTCTCTCCCTTCTCGTCACTCGGTCCACACTCGGTCACTTAACTCTCTTCACCTCGTAGTAGCTCGACAAACTCAGCCCACTGAGGCACACTTCATCCCCTCTCCAGGGGAAAAGAGACTTACTTCGTTGTGCACACCGCAATTCCCGAATCCTCGATACCTACGTCCACGTCGTGACGCGCGTCGTGTCCTGTCGTGTCTTCTCTCTTTTCTACCACTTCTACAGGGTCGTTTAAATACACACACACACACTTAAACACACACTAGAGAAAAAGCAGCCTCTTCGTTGTACACCGAACTCCGGTTCTCTTCGCAGAGCATCTGACACTTCCACGCGTCGAACATACACACGCACCAGGGGCGTAACATCAAAAAAATACTATTTTGAATTCACGTGAGAAAAAACCATTCTTAAATGGCATTTTAGCCTTTAATTTTAGTCTAAAAATCCAACTCGATAACTTACCTAAAACAAAATAAAAAAAAAATTTATTTTAAATAGTTATTCAAACAAATTTTTGTTTAAACGTAAAATAAACGTAGTTATACAAACTAGTTACAGCACTGGGCACACACACACCTTTTCATTTAAAGGTGCGCGCGCACAGCAATTTCTGATCCCAGTGTCGTAGTTAGATTAGGTTTTTACATTGAAAAAATCGAATATCTAGAATTTCAAGTTGCCGAGTGTAGCTTCGCGTTTTCTTTGTAACAAAGATTCACGAAGGTAGACTCGTACTTTGTGGAACTAAGAAAAAAAAAAAAATTTTATATGAGCTACAATTTATTAACTTATTGTAGAGAGGTTATGATCCCTCTAATAAAGTTGGTTCTCTTTCTCCAAACATTAAAATGCGGATTTTTCTTTTTGTTTTTTGTGCTTTTTTTTATTTTCCATGACCCTTTGACGTGAAAAATCGTTACGGGGTATTCTTTTTTTTTTACTTTTCGCTCCTTTTTTTCGGCAAAATAAAATTTATGAGAGAAAGAGGGAGAGATTGTGTGTGAGCAAAGTCTAGAAATAATAATATGCGAGAATAATTTTATATTTTCCATATTATAATATAATCTTTATAACCAGGGGCTCTGACTCAATTTTCCAGGAACGTGTGCTGAAAAATTTAAGGGCGAATTGTTACTCTAACCTCTAAAATCTAGACGTGCTGCGGTAATAGTTTTATTTTATGTAATTATATTCAATTTTTTAATCTAAATTTTATTCATAGTTATTGTATATATATATATATATATTATTATCTTGATATCAGGTTATAAATATTTCTATATATATATATATATATATATATATATATATATATTGTATTACATTTTACATATTCTTATACTCTTTTTGTATCAGTCTCATATTTTCCATAAATGTTGTTTTTAAACATTCATATAGCTTTCACGTGGAAATTTTTTGCACCAAACTATTGAAGTGATGAACTATATTCTATAAAATCGTGAAAGCGATGCCTTTAATTAAAATACCATTATAATTATTGTTTCAATTTTTCAAATAATGCCATTTTACATGCCATTTATATACTAGAAAAAATGGATTTTTTCGATTCTTCATAAAATTTTACTATATTAATATTATGGGAAAATTTTGTAAAGAAAATATTGTTTTACGTAAAAAAAAATGACGCCATTTTATTGCAGGAGCGTATTAAAAAAATTAGGTACCCTTTGAAAAAAATTTGTCAAAAAAATATAAATATTTAGCTAATATATATTTTATTCAGAAAAAAAGTAAAAACAGTTTTGCAGATAATTGAAAAAGATTTGTTAAAATATCTCTTTTGTTTTTGCAATTCATACATATAAGGTTGTAAAAATTAAGAAAAAGAAACTTTAAGGTGGTCACGTGCTCACCTTGGAACATTAAGGGGCGCCACCGGTGAAAGTTTAAACCGTGAAAATATTCAATGTCTGAAACTACAATATTTTTTTGCCGTAAGAATTATATGTTATATGTACAAAATACAAATATATATATATATATATATATATATATAAAATCAATGAACATATAAATACATATACAATTATTACACATTCAAAAATTTTAAAAACTTTGTTTTGTTGATGTCAAATATATTATATTATTGATTAATTATTATAAATTTAAAACAAATTTATTATTATTAGAATCTGTTTTAAAAATATATTATTCAATAAATGAATATAACTGATATCGTTGAAATTAAGATAAAATTGCTGTAATTGTTTATTAATCAATAAATTTTTGTATTAATTATGCATTATAAAATTTTTTTTTTCATATTTTTGCACTAAAGTCAAATTTTTAAATGGTACTGAAATATTGATTTGGTTTTTTGTAAAAAAATTTCCAATTTTTGTTATTATGATTTATATTTATAAATTTATGAGAATTTTTAAATAATTGAGATAGAACAAGTTTGAGTTGAACAAGTTGACGAATGATACAGCCCTGATCTCGTTCCCTCGACTCCATTGGACCCGCGCTATATACACACAAATATACACCAATACACATTTAAAAACGTTACTACGGCACGCGTTGTACACACAAACACACACATAGGCGAAAGTTTATCGGCGTGTATTATACTGGAGAGCAAGAGAAACGGAATTACCCGAACATTACCGAATCGAGCCGATAGAAAATAGCCGACAATTGACGAGGTGCTCAAGGGGAGGTAAAGAGGGAAGGGAAATACCGGGGGCTATTCTCGTGGCTGTACTGCTTCCCCTTTTTCAATTTTATCTTCAAATCGACGTATCGTTGCATTTAAACAATGCCATACTACAAAACGAAGGGAAAGTTTCGCATTTCTTTCCTAAGATGAGAGTGCAAGAGAGACAAAAAAAAATTTTTTTTTTCTTTTTTTTTTTCATGTACACCGTTGCAATTAGAACGGTCTGTTTCACTTCGCGAAACTTCAACATTTATATATATATATACACCCATGCTATAATAACTTCTTTACTTGATTCTCAACTTTTAACAATTTATATTATTGCAATAGTAATAATGAAGCTTTTCATCTAATTCAAAAGAGGGTTTTAAAAAAATCTCATTTAACACTTTTTAAGAGTGGAGAAGAGACTTTTTGCCCTCCTTATTATACTTTGAAAATAAAACAAATTTTTTCATATAAAAAATTTCATATGAAAGTAAAATTTTGCGGAATTTTCAAGCGTTGAAGGTCATATATCATTGTGCAATTGTGAATTGTTTAAGAAATTTTAAAATAACAAAATAATTTACGGTACAAGCAGTATATATATATGTAGAAGGAAAATTATAATTATTTAATGCAAGAAGAAAATTTTTACAGAAGAAATTATATAGGTTTTTTCAAGTAAATCCATGAAAATTGGAAAAAAAATTCCCTATATTGAAGTCGCCATTTTGAATTTTAAAAATCTGATATCAAATTCGTAATCAGCGACCTCAAAAACCCCCAAGTGATAAGTTTCAAACAATTTTGATCAAATTCTTAAAAATTTTTCGCCATATTGGATCCACCATTTTGAATTTTTAAAATCTGACATCAAATTCGTAATCAGCGACCCCGGAAACCCCTGAGTAACGAGTTTCAAGCGAATTAGATAAACTTTAAAATAAATCCGCCATTTTGAATTTTGCAATTTTGACATCGTATTCGTAATCAGCGACCCCGAAAACTCCCAAGTAAAAATTTTTAAGCGAATCTGATCAATTTTTAAAAATTCTTCCGCCATATTGGATCGGCCATTTTGGATTTTTAAAATCTGACTTCAAATTCGTAATCAGCGAACTCGAAAACCCGTGAGTAACTAGTTTGAAGTGAATTCAATGAACTTTCAAATAACTCCGCCATATTGGATCCGCCATTTTGGATTTTGAAATTCTAATACAAAATTTGTAATCAAAATTAAAAATTGGCGGCATTTTTTTTTTAAATTCGTACAATTCGTTCGAAACTTGTTACTCGGGAGTTTTTGGAGTCGCGAGGAATGCGAATTTAACATCGATTTTTTAAAATTCAAAATGGCAATTCCAAGATGGAGCAAAATGTTTAAAAATCAAACAAAATTGTTTCAAACTGATTACTCTGAGTTTTTTTTTTTTATAAAGTTACTAAAAACAAATTCAACGGTTTTCAATGTCGTCCGCCATATTGAAATTGCCATTTTGAATTTTTAAAACCAGATTAGATTTTATATTCAGCGAATCAAATTTATTTGATATAAAATACGAAAATATTAATATATTAAAATAAACCGAAAAAAAATGAATATTTAAATCAAATAAATATTTGAATCTGCTGTTTATTTAAAAATAAAAACACTTTGTTTGTTCAAAAATAAAACTATTTTCTGAATATACATATAAAGTCCACTAATTACGTCACTTTGAACAATGATTTTTCATTTATATAATAAAACCTTGAATTAGAATAATTTTTTTTTTTTTTTAATTCTCTTGCATAATAATAAACTTTGTTAGTTAATGTTTCACTTGCATCTCTGTATACACATTTTTCTTAGAAATAAAAGTGGAAAGTATGTTAGACATACTTTTCAAGTTCAAAGTGATAAAGTTGGAGGTATAGAAAATAATTGCAAACAAATAAGAAAAGTATTAATATTAATTTCCCCAAAAAATATTGTATAAAAAAAATGTGAAGAAATGAAAAATCGATTTTCTTTATTTTCATTTTTAATATTCATCTTTGCTTGAATCTCCATTAGTCGTTTTAATAGCGGAAAAAAAATTACTGCTATAGCGATAAGGATTCAGGTCATTCAGTGAATGCTTTATAACGAAAAAAAAAAAAATTTATGTAACTTTTTTTTTTCTAATTTATTTACAAAAATTCAAAACTATTTTTATATGACATTTTTTTTCAAATGGAAAAATATTTTTTGCCTTTTTGCAAATATGAAGTTTAATTATTTTTTTTTTTGTATTCATTTTTTTGCCGTATAGCAAAAAGAAAAATGGATGGACCAGGAACAATGACTTGGGAAGAATTTGTTGAAAATGCCGAAAGCATAATAGAAATATCGAATTCAATTGACGACCATTGGCAATTTGAAGGGGACAAGGTACGTTCGTTAGACGATCGATCGAATACAACAAGCACATATATTACTCAATCCTGCTAGAAAATGCGTTCACATATGTCTTCATTTCAAAACACATATTTCCCATATAGAAAATCGACAAAAAAAATTTACGCAATTTTAAAAATTTTAATACAACTAATTAAATGAATTATTTAATTATTTCTTTGATTCTAAAAATACGAAATTAGAAAAGAAATTTTATTTGTAAAAAAAAAACAATTTTGTAAAAAAAGAAGAAAATCGATAAAAAAAAAAATTTTTTTTTTCCTTTTTTGCAGAATATTCCTGGACAGGGTTATTTATTACGACGTGAAAAGACTTTTATTTCAATTGACATTCTGAGCAGTGAATCGTGGACAAAGGCAGAAGAGGATTTGTCAAACGAGCTTTGTCTCAAATTGAGAGAAGATCCTTTCGAAGCTCCTTCTATTGCATTTGAGAGGCCTCTAGTTAAGGAACATCATATCCTTTGGTCTATGAGTTACAGTGTACCAGTTCTTTATTTTAATGGATGGAAATCGGGTGAATTGAATAGATTTTTTTTTTAAAATTATTAATTACCACATTTTTTTCAATAATTCAAAAAAAAACAACCAATTTTCTAATTCCAACTGAGCTAGCTAGCTAAAGGTTTTCACATCTATTCAACAGAGCGAGCTATAGTTCCCCTTTTCATATCACTTGGTCGATAAAGTTAATTTCTTCGCGTTTGGAATTTTTTAATCAATAAATGACTAAAAAAATTATACTTATTTGTATTTTTTTTTTTTTTTTTTTTTTTTAAAGCAAAAAGAGATTTTGATTCATAGTTTAAGAAATTTATTTAAATTTTTTAATTTTTATATAATTTATTATCAATATATTAGCAATATAATTTATTACTTTTTATCAATATAATTTTATATTTTTTTGTTAATACAATTTATTATTTATCATCAATAGGAAGATAATAATGAATTATTTCTTAATAAAAAAAAAAAAAAAAAAAAAAAAAAAAAAAAAAAAAAAAAAAAAAAAAAAAAAAAAAAAAAAAATAAGGGTTCAAATTTTCCAAAAAAAAGGAAAAAAAAATATTCCTTTGACACTATAATTTTTCGGAGAGTATTGATGTCTTATTTTGCCTGGGGGGGGGGGGGTTATGAAAGTCATCGGAATCAACGACTGATCACCACTAGACCTTAATCTGCGGAAGTGGGGGCGCTTACTGCGCTGATTGTGCCTTCGATTGCAGACAATTCTAAACTGGGCTAAGATGACATCTAATCATAGGGAATGAATAAAGATTACATTAAATATGAAAATCCCATTTTATTTCCATTATCTTCAAAAAGCAATTGTTAAAATTAAAAAAAAAGGTTTAGAATATGTTTGAATATTTTTACACTGAAAAAAATTTTATTTGATTCAAATAATCGGTTACTTGCATCCAGAGAGATTTGTCTCACAGCCTAATAAATATTTATTTGATTTACATAAATTTTTATTTGATTTAAATAAACATTTTTTATTTACGCCAAATAAATAGGCTGTGGGACAAATATACGTTTATTTAACTCAAATATATTATATATATGGTTCAAATAAAATATTTCTCTGATTGTGACTATTGGCAAATAAATATTTACTTGAACCAAATAATTTTTAAAACCAAATAATTGAATTAAATAAACATTTATTTGAATCAATAATTTATGTATTTGAGACAAAAACCGCGCTTAATTGAATCAAATAATAATTATTTGATACAAATAAATATTTATTTGATAATAGTCAAATAACCAAATAATTTGAATCAAAGAAATTTTTTTTTTTAAAGTGTAATTTATGAATTTTGCACAAAAAATTTTCCTCAATTTTCTATTTATATTATAATTAATAGTTATTAAGTTTTAATTTAAAAATAAAAAAATTAACAGATTGTCCAGGAATTAATCCAGTATCGGTAGAAGTGGCTCAAAAACTACTCAAAAATGACAGTCTAGATTATTCTGAATTATCACAAGCAATTCATCCAATTCTTGGCACATCTTTTTTGTACCTTCATCCCTGTATGTCGCAAAATCTTATAAAAATCACACCCAAAAGGTAGAATTTATTTATATTTATTTATTAATAAAAAAAAAATTCTACAATAAAATGAAAGCTATTTTTTTAAATTAGTAAAAAAAAAATAATTATTAGAAAAAATAATTTAAGAAAAAAAGGGTAAGAATTCAAAAAAAAAAAAAAAAATTTTTTTATGAATTTTTTCAGCAAGAATAAATTAATTAGTTGGCTGAGTATGGTGGCTCCAGCAGCCCTCAATTTTAAAATAAGACCAGAATATTATAAATTAACCTTTGGTGACACTTCAGAAGCAGATGGAAATTCTTGAGCATGATGAGCAATTTGATATTCCTGAGATTCAGTATATATGTATATATAATGGCTTGCATCATTATTATTGTCACAAAGGATCTCAACTGGAACTAATATTATACAGTGTATATATATATATATATATCTACAAAGTGTATTCCTTGTTCTGAATGAATGTAACTTTATATGAAAAAAGTTATTTTTTTTTATTTCAATTTATAATAATATTGTAATTTTAGTCCATTAAATTTTCTTGTATTTTTTATCTCATATTTCTTTTTATTCTTATTTCCCCCGAGAAAGTCAAAAGAGTAATTATTAATATTATAATTAAGGGTGTCATTAAATGTCCCTATATTAAAATATAAAAATTACCGTTTGTTTCCTAATCCCACTTGGAAAGATTCCCTGGAAAGTGCCCCCTGGAGGTTCTAGCAGAATTCCGCCTGAGTTTCCAACGTAATTCCGTCGGAATTCCATCGGAGTTCCAAAGAATTTCCAACGGAATTCCGATTAATTTTTTTTTCAAAATTTTTAGAGTCCTAATTCCATCGGAATTCCGTCAGAATTCCGTCGGAATCCCATCGGAAATTTTTTGGAACTCTGATGGAATTCCGACGAAATTACGTTGGATGTTCCGGCGGAATTCTGATAGAACCTCCAGGGGGCACTTTCCGGGGAAACTTTCCAAATGGGATGTATTTTTATTAATTACATTTTTTTCCTTGACATCATTTAATATTTTTCATTTAAATCCCAAATAATTTACATTTATATTAAATAGAAATTTAATTAGAATTAAAAAAATTTATATATGAAAATGAAGGATAAAAAATTAATTTGCTAAATAATAAAGTAATAATTAATTATTAAATTGATAGAAAAAAATTAATTATTAAAATTAATAAAATTTTAATTTTATAAAAATTTAATTTGAAAAGTTTTTTGTATAGAATAAAAAAAAACAAATTTTTGTATTTTTGATACATATTTTTTAAGAAGGCAATTCTCGTATACGTATATATTAAATACTGAATCTCCAGTGTGTTATAAACCTCATTAATTTTGTCGACAGAAATTAATAGTCAGACGAATAATATTGACAGTATCGGAAAGTTGCCAAAAAATATTTTTGAAACTCGAGCAAAAATTTGTGAACGCGTAACCATTGCAAATGACACACAGCATATATATATATATATATATATATATACAAGTGTTAGAAACTATTATGTGAACTTATATTTAATTTAAAATGATTGAATGATTAAATCTCTTTTTGTATAATACTGTTTTGTTAGCTCGATTCACTAGATATATATAAATGAACACCAGACTATTATAATAACAATAAGAAGAAGAAGAAAAAAAGAAAGAAGATTATTCCTCATGACCTTAAAGCATTTTATATTTCTGCTATATAAATGACGTATCTAGGTCATTGGGGTGTGTTTCATCACTTCTTTTTTGACCATCATAATCTAATCATTATTTTTGATAAAGAATAAAATGGAAGATCACTGTCATTTGATGTAAAGGTCTTAATTTAATTTATTAAATAGAAAAAAAGTCATTCTTAATCTCTCTTGGTTCATTAAGGATTTTTTTTTCTCTTTTTTTTCATTTTGTAATAAAATATCAAAAAAAAAAAAAGATTAAAAATACTAAAATGGAAATTAAATTTTTTTTTAATTTTAAAAGTGGAATTACTAAAGATTTTCTGAAAAATTGAGTTTGCTATCTATATACGCCATGAAATCGAATTTTATTCATGGGAAGAAATAATTTTCCTCATTTTTAAACAATAGTGAAGAGTTATTGTTCGTTTCCACTGATTTTGCAGTTCTTTAAAACGATGAATTTAAACTGCATGGCAGCAAAAAGCTTGGTTAAGAGAGAGAGGAAATAAAAAAAAAAAAAAAAAAAAAACATTTTCCACGGGATTAAATTTCTGGGTCGAAATTCGTTTTGCGAGTCAAACAGGATTGTGAATAATAAGTTAATCAAGGACTGTGAAACTTGTTTTTCTCTTTTAATTCGAATAATCAAGTTGCTTAATAATAAACAGGGAATCGCAAATTTGATATTAAAAAAAAATTGTAAATATTTCTATTTTGGATTTTCAAATTCTACTAAAAAAAAAAATTGTTTATAATAATTCATAAATATTAAAATTCTTTTTTTTTAATGTAAAATTTCATTTGATTTTAAACGTCTCAAGAGATTAAATTATATTTTTAATTTTCAATATTACATGCAGGGAAATTTATATATTTTAAACCCCTGAGAGTTGGAGAATTTATTTGTTTTTTTTTTTTTTTAAGAAAAAAGAAAACTTTGCTCCAGTTTCTTCAGTGACTGGAAAAACAATGAACTTTTGTTAAAGCTGTTTTCACACTCGCGTGTGTATGTGTGTTTTTTTTTTATTGTTCCCGAATGCACTGTATATATAGACATTGCAGCGAATCAGTTTTCGATGTACTCGCAAAATGATGAGATTATTGATCCTTCAACATGTCAACTCTCATATACGATAACGCACAAAGAGAGAAATATTGAGGTATTGCTCGTTTAGCGTGGATATGACCTTTTTTTGAAATCATTCAACAATAATCATGACGTATATAATATCATTTTCTAAAATTAGATTACTTTAAAAATTATTATTATTATTAATATTTAAACCATTACAAAAAAAAATAATATAATAAAATTAGTATTTTTTTTTTTTTAAACTCAACACGATTATTTTGTGGGAAAAAAAATATCAACATTTTCAAACGTTAAACGTGTTAAATCTACAAATTTTAATATATTTTTGTTTTACTTAAATCACACGTTTCAAATTATCATTTCATTGATGATTATGAATTAAATTTTTTTTTTCTATTACCCGAAAATATTACGTGACAATAAAACAAGAAACGTGATTACTGTCCATGTAAATAAATAAATATGTAATTTTAAAGACAGAAATAATTTCAAAATAATCAAATATATATATATAATTATAATTATTGCAATGTTATAAATTTCGAATAATTTATTTACGTGATTGACAATTTGAAATAAAAATGCACGAAAAAAAATAACACTTCTTAATGGAAATTTTTTTAGTATTTAAAATTCAAGAATGGAAATTTTAAGCCTGATGCCTATTTAAGGGACTGACAGTAAAAAAAAAAAAAAAAAAAAAACACGTTTCAGATTATCATTTCATTTGAGATTACAAAACGTCTTACGTAATGGCCTTGATGGTATATAGTTAACCTTCTGTTTTGAAACTTCATTTACTTCCGATTCATCGGATCTTTAAACTCGAATGTATTTTTTTTTTTTTTAATTTATTCAAAAGTAAATATTTTTCTCAATTATGTAAACAAATATTATTTATTTGACTCAAATAATAATTATTTAATGAAAATAAAAATTATTTAATGCAAATCATAATTATTCAATGCAAATAATAATTATTTAATGCAAATAATAATTATTTAATACAAAAAAATATTTATTTGTTTATAACAATAGGAAAAATATTCTCTGTTAAAAAACAAATTCGAATCGGAGATCATTGGCAGTTGAGTCAAAAAAAAATGAATGTCATTTGAAAGTGACACAAAAAAAAAAAAAAAAAAATGAGATTCGAAAAAATCTTTAAGGGCCGTTCGCTTTTCCTTTAGTAGAAGCCTTTAAAAAGTGGTGAATAACTATGTTCCGTAACTCGGAGGTGGCTTTGTTAAAATAAAAAATTTCTTATAGCTCGAGGCATTTTGAGTTTCCATTTTGCGTTTAAGCCTCATTAAATCCTCAATAGATCCTTGATAATGACGTATCCTTTTATCTTTTCTCACATAGTGTCCCGTTTTCTTATCAACTCGTTACCTCGCTCCAAATTCTTAATATCACAAATTTTGGATATTATACAATTGATAACGAGACTAAAATATATAATAAAAAGAAAAAATTTTCTTATATAAAACAGAATTTTTTATATAAACAAATTTTTTTTATATAAAAACAATTTTTTAATACAAATTTTTTTTTTTTTTTTTTTAAATAGACAAATTTTATAATTATTCATTTTTCTAAGCAATGAAGAAAATAATTTAATTTTTTAAAATTTAATTTAATTTTTAAATATTTTTCCAATCAAAAGATTGTTTGAAAAAAATATTTTTTTTATACTTGACCCATTTAATTTTTTTTTTTTTCTTTTAATGAAAATAACGCACAAATCTTCGTATGAAGTGAGAAAAGAAAAAATCGAGTTTTTATATATATATATTATATCAACGTGAAATGTCCAATTAAAAGAGAAAATCAATAGAGCGTGAAAAAAATGACATTTGGGAAATCCACAAATAAAAGTTTCATCCTTTACGAGATAAAAAGAAAACTGTCAATCAAATTCGAAATCTCTTTCGTTTATAAGCAAAAAAGAAAAAAAATGTCCCGAGAAGAATTTAGATAAGCTTCTATATAAAATATGAGAAATATTGCATTGGTTCTTTATTTACGACTATAAAGTTAGTGAATCGGAAAAGAGTTACGGGGAGAAAATGTTCATTAATCTCAAGAAGAAGGAAAAACTATATATAAAGGTATGTACTGTATATATAACTTTTGAGTTTCTGTATTTTTCGTCTATAAGTACTAGTAAGGTATGTATATATATATATATATGTGGTGGAAAAAGGACACACGTATGTTTCAATTTGATCCTGAGGGATGCTGGTTGCCATGGATACGAAACCATAGCTTGTTGCGTATCTGAAACCTGCAAGCTCCAGTAGCGTGAAAGCTCGTACCTACTTCGTTATAAACGTGCTTTTATACATAGTATATATACGAATGTATATATATATATACCTTTGCTTTCATTTTTATAAAATTGATGTATACACAATTGTACTTGAATGGCTTGAAAAAAGAGAGAAACCAGAAAACAAAACTTGTTTTCAGTTTCTTACTTCTTGGCCAAATTAAAAAAAAAAAAACCAAAACTATTGAATACTAAAAAATTAAATAAAACCGAAAATCATTTTTTTTTATAGATTGATAATTTAAGCAAATGTCTAGACTTAAAGTCGCAGTCAATAATTTTCACTGAAAGTCAGTCAATAATTTTATAATTATACTTATTTTGTCCGACAATTGTCAGAATTGAAAATCAAAGTGATTGCCTTTTTCATTCATAGTTGTATCAAAAAATCAATTAATATCGACTGAAAGTAAGTCGGTTTTCTAAACTGAAATGCAGGAGATTGAGTATTGAATTAAAATCAGTCAATATTTTTTCATATAAAAGTAAGAAGAAAAACTGAAAGTCAGTCAATATATTTAATTGAATTGGTTTCATCTCAGTAAAAAAAAAGTCTTATTTTAAGAAATAGCCTTTGCTGAATTTAAGACCCATCTTAAAATAAGATTTTCTTTTAACTAAAAATCAGTCAATTTTTTCTTCTGAATATCAGAAAACAATATTTACTAAAAGTTAACTAACAGTATATATCTGTACTAAAAACAATAAACACTATTTCAACTGAAACTCAACTGTATATTAACTGAAAGTCAGTTAGTATTTTTAATTGAAAATCAGACAATGGTCGTAACTGAAAGTATCAGTTGGCGCACTCTTTACTAAATGTTAGTTATATAATTTAAAAATCAGTCAATATTCTAGACTGAAATTTAGTCACTATCTCAACTGAAAGTCAGTCTTGTTCAAAATTCAGTCACTTTATTCATAGTGAACAAGGAAAAAAAAATTTTTTTTTTCTTTCCTAAAATGAAAATTATGTACAATTTTCCCGGAAATGTCTTTTTAAATTTTCTCAACAATTTTATACATAATGAATGCAGCAAATTATTCCAAATTGAGGGTTGAAAATGAGCGATTTTTCCTCATTTTAACGAGGACAGACACATTTTGTGAGTATATATATATATATATAGTCCTTACGATTTCGCGCGACTCTTGTGTGTTTCAAGCTCCGATTGGAAGATGGGCACGGCCATGACGACTATAGGTCTCTACTCTCGCGTTGATCCACGCCACAAGTGTTCGTGGCGTGCTCGCGCGAGGATCTTCTCGTTTTTAAATAGTAAAACCGGCGGCGCGAAAGAAAACAATTTTTCTTTTTTTTCCTCCCCCACATTATAACACAAAAATAGCGTGTGTTACAAAAAAAGATCGTTACAATTTTTTTTTTTGTATTCAAATTGTGTGTGTGTGTGTGTATTTTTTCTCCTTAAAATCAAAAAAAAAAGGAAACCATAATTCGTGATTTGAAAAAAAAAATTACGTCGAGGAAAAAAAAATAAATAAATTGTTTCCATCCCGGGGAAATTGACAAATCCAAGTGGGTTGAAAAGAGAGTGCGCGCATGTCGGAGCCCAAGGGATAAATAAGGCTCTAGTCGGTATGAATCTTGAGGATATAATTATGTTCTTTGATTGGATTAAGCCTGCAATTGTGAGGATGCATCCAAGGCAGATGAAATGGATAAATAAAAAGCGAAAACTTCAATATTGTGTGAATTTATAGAACACGTGGATTTGTTTTGTTAAATTAATCCACATCAGTGTCTATTGTGAAAAAAATTTAGATAATTTCTTCAAGTGCCATATTTTAAATAAGAAAAGTTTTACTGAAAAAAAAAAAAATCTCAATCTCATATAAAATATTTTAGTTGAAAAAAAAATTAACTTTACAGTTCTTTAAAATAGAATAAAATGCAAGTGACACAAATATAGAAAAATTGGAATAAATTAAATAGAAAAAAAAAATTCATTTAAAAGAAAAATGGACAAAAAAAATATTTTTAATTACAATTTTTGTTTCACCTTTTGCAATACTAAATCTCTTAATACACAACTAATCATTTTTATCAACACTTATCAAGATCAAAAAACGTTGTATAATGTCAAGAACGGATAAAATATTTCATTTTTTTTTATAAAAAAAATTCTGCATATTTGTAACAAGATTTTTCAAACACGTTATCTAAAATGAAAATACGTTATCATATAAAGTGGAAGCAAAAATTTTACACTGAACATACAAAATTATCTCATTATAGTTCTATGCAAAAAGATAACTAAATAAATATTTACTTTTTTTAATTTAACCGTTTAATCACTAACAAAAATTTAAAAAAAAAAGAAATTTATAATTATAAATAAAAACTATAAAATATTTTCAAAAATTTATTATGAAATTTGAATAAAGCAAAAATTATAATCTATTTGAAAATGAAAATTTAAATATATTACAAAATTTAATTATATACAATATTAAATATAAAATAGAAAGATTGACATTACAATAGAATATTAAATTTCTTTTTTAATTACATATAAATCAAACAAATGAAATAAAAAAAAAAAAAAAACGGATTCATTTTGTTTCGAAAATATAAAATGAAAATTTATCCGATAAATATTCACATCAATAATATTTCATATATATTTCCATGTATGTAAATGAAAAAATTATTTTTCAACGGAAATCAAATGAAATAGATTTTGTTTTTCATTGGATTAAAAAAAATATATATATATAATAATTTTCTTGCTGTAGTAAATTTAAAATTGCAATTTTAGTAATTTAAAATTTTTTAAATTTTATAATTAAATAATTTTTATTTTATAATTAAAAAATTTTTATTTCATAAAAAAGGAAATTATCAATAAAAAGTTTTATGAAATTTGAAAAAAAATGCAATATACGCTTTTACGGGACATATCTCCATTTTCGCACAAATAATAATCCTTCCGTTATCATTTAATTAAATACCTAAAGAATAATCCTCTTCGTAAATTATATATATATATATATATATATATATATACAAGTGACAATGCATCGAATAATATGTAAACAGTGAATATCGTTTGGTGTTCAATAAATACTAATACGGTGACTATATAATAGAGAAGGCATTCGATTATGCGTTAATTGGAATTGAGGTCAATCATCTTGAAAAAAAACTTTATTTTTTTATATATCTTTTTTTTGCGTAACATTAGATACTTTTTTCTTTAATTTTTTTCTATAATATTTTGTCAGTAAATGGTATTTTTAACTATTAGTATTTTCAAATATTAGTATTTTTAACTAATAGTATTTTTACCTATTAGTATTTTCAACTATTAGTATTTTTAACTATTAGTATTTTCAAATATTAGTATTTTTAACTATTAGTATTTTCCCCTATTAGTATTTTTAACTAATAATATTTTCAACTAATAGTATTTTTAATTAGTATTTTCAACTATTAGTATTTTTAACTATTAATATTTTCCCCTATTAGTATTTTTAACTAATAGTATTTTTCTCTATCAGTATTTTTAACTAATAGTATTTTCAACTAATAGTATTATTAATTTTTAGTATTTTCAACTATTAGTATTTTTAACTATTAGTATTTTCAAATATTAGTATTTTTAACTATTAGTATTTTCCCCTATTAGTATTTTTAACTAATAATATTTTCAACTAATAGTATTTTTAATTAGTATTTTCAACTATTAGTATTTTTAACTATTAATATTTTCCCCTATTAGTATTTTTAACTAATAGTATTTTTCTCTATCAGTATTTTTAACTAATAGTATTTTCAACTAATAGTATTATTAATTTTTAGTATTTTCAACTATTAGTATTTTTAACTAATAGTATTTTCAATGATTAGCAATTTTTAACTATTAGTATTTAACTAATAGTATTTTTAATTAGTATTTTCAATGATTAGTATTTTTAACTATTAATATTTTTAACTAATTGTATTGTCAATGATTAGTATTTTTAACTAATAGTATTTTTAACTAATAGTATTTTTTATTAGTATTTCAACTAATAGTATTTTCAACTAATAATATTTTAAAAATACTAAATCTATGTGAGGAAATTTTTTTTTTGCAATTTTTGTTTTACTTTTAACGGCACTCTATTGTCATTCACCCCTAAAAAAAAAACTTCTCCCTCTTATGAGAACCATATCAAAAGTCCCTAAGTGAACTAACAAATAGAAAAGGGAGAAAATTAAATTATCAGATAATTTCAGATGTCTTACAAAGATATATATATATATATATATATATATATATATATATATATATATATATATCAATAAAGAGTGTTGAGAACCTCAGTCATCCCCTTTAATATCCCACTTTTCTTTTTTTTTCTTGAATATAGGAAATAGTTTTGTGCAATAATCGGCGTTGTTCAATCATCATTTAGAGAGGGGAAAAACGAAAGAAAGAAAAACTAAATTCACAAAGGAGAAAAATCTCTCAATATCTATTCTTGGGTGGGTTTGGGTTTTTTGTAATGACACAGAAAAAAAAAAAAAAAAAAAAAAAGTTTCGTCATTCGACATTAGGAAAAAAAATGGGCTCACGCGGTGAACTATACATCGTGAAAGCTTTTTCCACTCAAAATACCGGGAGAGAGTAAAAGCGACCTATTTACTTATCGTTAATCCTTTGGAACTGGTGCAAGCACTAGTTCTAGTCGACGATATGTCAGATATTGCGATTTTTTTTTTTTTTTTTTTTTTTTTTTCTTTTTTTTCAGTCAATATACGCCTACCGAAAGTTTGCAATAGTAGCAACTATACAAGTGACTATTATTATCATATGAGCTATCGGTACAATAAGATTGTTACAATTTTGCAACCGAGACAATATTATTAGATTTGTCTATATATAATCATATATGTGGCAGGAGTCACGGATTTACTATTATTAAAGCATATATCACACACTGACAATTATCAATCATATACGGTACTTTCGTTTCATTAACACACTTCCTTATAATGTAAGAAAAAAAAATTATTTGGAAATATTTTTTTAAATATTTATTTATTATTTATTTATTTAATAAATATATTTTTATTAAAATATACAATAATGGGGGAAAGTTAAATTAAATATTTATAATTGTATAATTAAAATTTGATCATATAATTGAGAATTTAAAATTTAAATTAAAAATTTCATAAAATTATCAGGATAATAATAGACAAATAAGTCATCACAAATGAATGCAAGGATAATTTAATAAAAAAAAAATGTTTTAATTCATATGCATGATGACAGTTGCAAAAAAAAAACAAACTTTTTTATTAATCTAGTAAGTTGATGATGACACAAATGATAATTTCATCTCCACTGGGTACACAAGTGGGATATAGACACTGTAGATCATCCACCCGTAAATTGTCCGCATATCTTGCAAGCTCGAGAAAACAAGATTTTCAAATGATTTCATATCCATTTCATAATTCTATAAATTAAATTTTTAAAACTATATTTTTTAAATTATATTTTTTAAAATACATTTTTTAAATTATATGCTATTCATAAATTTTTATTATTTTCTATTTTTTATCATTATATGATCAATGTTTATTTAAAAAATTTATTTTATAAAAAATTAATTCAAATTCACAGGGAAAAGATAGGAAAAAAAAAATTGATTATTTAATATTTCCATTTTAAAATACTTTGAACTATGTATTATTATCTCTTGACAAACATTTTTCGCAAACTTTTATATGGAAAAGACTTTGGTTTTAATATCCTTGACCTTATATTCAAGCAAGCGTGAATATTCCTATATAGTTAATTTATCTTTTTATCTGCGGGATCATATATTTTATTCTCCATACAACTTTTCATGATTTTCGCTGACTTTAACATAAGATTAGAAAAGATAAATTTTACAATTTCTCTTTTGAAAAAAAAAAAAAAAAAAAACCAACGACTTCCATTTTTTATTTTAAAAAATGTATGGATTTTTTTTTGTTCAAAATTAACTTAATCAAATTTGGTTTGTATAAATAAAATTTTTTGTTATATTGAAACAAAATTTTGTTTTCATAAATTCTCTTAATGAAATTTGTTTTGAGAATCACATTTTTTGTTGCAAGTCTTTTTGATTAAAATATGTCTCTTTTTTTTCCATCTTATCATTGCTTAACGCTTGGGCTTCTCGTGTTCGTACATTTGAACGCTCTTGAATACGTCCTGGTTGCCGCGGATACGTGATTTTTCCAATTTCCTTGGTTTGCTAGGGTCGCGTAGCACTTCCATTATCGGAACCTCCTTTTCTCAATTTTATCATCGCTTTTCTTCGATGCAAGACTCTTGTCGATTCTCCTGACCTCATTTTTTTTTTTTTTTTTTTTTCATAAAACTCTCCCCATGTATAAAAAAAAGAAATCAGGAAGTGATCCTTATATACGGTTGCACTATGAACAATATAACTTGATAAATAATCGTTTTCCAAGGAATAGAGGAAAATATAAAAAAAAAGAATTTTAAGAAAATACAACTAAAAGAATTTGATTGTTTAAATTAATTTTTACAAAAAAATAAATTACTTTGTTATTGCTCTCGAGACAAACAGGAATATAAAAAAAAAAATTATTAGAATATTCCCACAGTCTATTATTTTCTATCTGTGCGGTCACAAAACCATTAACGTCAGCGACTAATTTACCCAGGCGTTAAGTTAAGATAATTAACGTTGAACGTAATTTGAGAAACTTTGTTCTAGATAAATTAGAAATTCTAGACAGAATTACAGAGGGCATTGTTTCCAATTGTAAATTGGCTAAAATTTCAAATGAACTCGACAAAAAATTTATTGTTAATGTACAATGATAACTGTGTATGATAATAGTCACTTGTATTTTCTTCATTTTTTTTTATTTTTAAAAAGTAGTAAAAAAGAAATTTTAAATAAGAATTTGTTGTTTTGTCTAACAATTCGAAATTGTTGTGATAATAGTAAAACTGTTAAGGAAACAAAAAAAAAATTTGTTTTCACTACAAACTAAATTTGTAAAATTAACAAATCCAGTTATTAGATTTAACAATTACTTTTTCTCCTTGCAGTATAACTCTTATCTTATTGGAATGCATTCCATTGGCTCTCGTTTCATGACCATGAAAAACAGCCAATAAGCTCTGATCCAGACCTTTTGCTATTCGTAGCTCGAGGCACGAGTAGGGAGTTCGAATTAAAGTCTATTGGTTGTTTTTCAAGGTAATGAACCCGGAGATATATTTATTTATATTTATCTATATTTATATTTTTATAAATATTGCGAAGCTTAAAAAAATGATCCATCATCTATTTTGGATGCAATTCTCAAAAAGCAATTGTTTTGGAACACCTGATTTATCCCATAAAAATAATTTATTTATTTATTGAAAATTAATTATAATTTTCATTTTAAAGAATTTTATTAGAGATAATTATTTTTAAGACAAAAATTTTTATTTGATGACAGAATTTCTTTTTATACGAATTTTTACAAAAATTTTCATCTACCGAATTTTTTGTTTGTCAGAATTTTCATTTTACAAACATTTAATATTTAGCATGACTTTTTGTTTAAGAAAATTTTAATCTAGCAGAATTCTCATTCAATCGAATTTTAATTTCTCCGAAATTACAAATGCCCGATTATATATAAATGACAGAAAAAGATTTTGGCGCAATTTTCAAAAATTGACCAATTAAAAAATTATCAATAAAATCGTGATTGGTCAATTTTTTTTTTTTTTTTTTAAATTTACATCAAAATCTTTTTGTCAATTGTTTATTCGGTTATTTGTAATTTCGGACAAATGAAAATTTGTCATCTTAAAAATTCTATCAACTAAAATTTCGTACAAATAAAAATTTATAATTTCGGACAAATTTAAAATTTGGTGAATTAGTTTACTGTCGTTTAAAAAATTTGAATCAGATAAAATTCAATTAAATGAGAATTCTGTTAAATTAAAATTCTCTTAAATAAAAAAATCATGAAATGAAAATGACTGTAAAATAAAAAATTCTAAAAAATTTGTGTAAAAAGAAATTTGAATTCAAAAATTGGTCTAAAATATAATAAAATAATACTTTAAAGTGAAAATTGTAATTAATAATTTTTATGGAAAAAATTTGATTTCCAATAACAAAAAATCAATTCTGAAGGTCGCGCGAGGAAGAAAAGAGGATTTTAAGAAAAGGATTTCTGGCCAAATCGAGAGAGAAAGAGAGAGAGAGAGAGGTGGTAATTTGAGAAAGAAGCCCGATCAAGCAGAATATACGATAGGGAGTGTCAAGTCATCTAGAAAGGGAATCACCGTATAGAGAAAAGCTAAACTTGAACGAGCGCAAACAATGGCTGGTTAGTTTCGATGGGTTCATAGTATATTATATTATATACTCTCGGGTATTTGTGATATTATAAAGATTGCCCCCGCACAAGAGATAACGAAACGGCAGGAAGGGATCGTCGTCGTTGTCGTCGTAGGGGAGATCATATATCGCCATAGCTAATCGTACCACCCAAGGTGGCACAGATTGAGAGCCCCATCAACACAACATCCTCTTCTACGACAGGTCTGATAAAAAAAAAACTGCACCAAAGCCACGGATACTATCATCGCACTCCAATCATCAACGATTGTGTGTTCGTCGTCTACCAACTCGACAGTAAGAGAGAGAGAGAGTATTATCATTGTTGGTAGCGAGCGCCATTTTTTTTTTAAAGCTCGTCGTCGCACGTCCCCATTAGTGAACGCCGCACGGCACTTCCGGTGAACCGGAAGTCACAGTCCATGTGAACGGGCTCAGAGCGTCTCGTCAGGATCCGCGGAAATAAACATGGAAATCGCCACTGAGTTGTACGTATATATTTCATATTTTTAATTTTAGATATAAATATTCAAATTTTTGGGTATAGAATTTTTTTTTTTTTTTAATTTTTCTGAAAATATTTATGAAATTGAAGGAATATTTTGAATTTTGAAAATTGACTCCAATACTGTGGATTTTTTACTGCAGGAATTCGAAAAAGGGGAGTAAAAACTTTTTGTGAGAAGGAGGAGTTTTAATTTTCTTTCATTTGTTGATTTTAACTTCCATTTTTTCTCAAGACTTTGTCTAATCAGCTTTGATTTTTTTTTCAAATGGAAATTAAATTCACCAAATGGCAAAAAAAAAATCTCAAAATAAAAACAATTGCTTTCTGTGAGAAGAAGGAGTTTGGATATTTTTTTGTCATTTGTCGAATCTAAATCTTCAGAAATTTAATCTAGTCAGCGATTTGTTTTTTCAAATAGAAATTAAATACAAAAAATGACAGAAATATTTAAATTAAAACATTCCTTCTGTGAGAAGGTGGAGTTTAAATCTCTCTTTTATTGGTCGAATTTAATCATCATATTTTTTTTACTGTCTTGCTCAGAAGCAGCCTTGAATTTTTTTAAAATTGAAATTAAATTCAAGAAATGACAAAAACATTTAAACGAAAGCACAGAGCTTTTTGTGAGAAGGAGGAGTTTTAATTTTCATTCATTTGTCTACTGTAACCTTCATCTTTTCTCTGGAAACTTTGTCAAATCAGTTTTAATTTGTTTTTTCTAAATGGAAATTAAATTCACCAAATGGCAAAAACAAAATCTCAAAATAAAAACAATTGCTTTCTGTGAGAAGAAGGAGTTTGGATATTTTTTTGTCATTTGTCGAATCTAAATCTTCAGAAATTTAATCTAGTCAGGGATTTGTTTTTTCAAATAGAAATTAAATACAAAAAATGACAGAAATATTTAAATTAAAATATTCCTTCTGTGAGAAGGTGGAGTTTAAATCTCTCTTTTATTGGTCGAATTTAATCATCATTTTTTTACTGTCTTGCTCAGAAGCAGCCTTGAATTTTTTTAAAATTGAAATTAAATTCAAAAAATGACAAAAACATTTAAACGAAAGCACATAGCTTTTTGTGAGAAGGAGGAGTTTTAATTTTCATTCATTTGTCTACTGTAACCTTCATCTTTTCTCTGGAAACTTTGTCAAATCAGCTTTAATTTGTTTTTTCTAAATGGAGATAAAATTAAAAAAAAAATTAACAGAGGGTCACGAAATGAAAAAAAATTGCTTTCTGTGAGAAGGTGGAGTTTGAATCATTTTTTTTTCATTTCGTGACCCTCTGTTAATTTTTTTCGAATTTTGTCATTTACATTTTTTTTTTTTTTGGTCAAAAACTAGTAAATTACAAAAAATATTCACAGTAACCTTTATGAAAATTATAATTTACCAAAAAAAAATATAGCAAATATTGCCAAAGTTTATACATATATATATTTCTAAATACACTTTGCAAAATTTTAACAAGTGCAATCATATGCTTTCAAGTGAATACACAAAAGCTTGATTTTAATGAACGAATTCAGAAAATGAAATGGTTTCTAACTTTGATGGATACTTCATCTCCTACCTACACACACACATACACATACAAACAGTCTCTAAGTGCGTAAATGCATGTGCGCAATAGGAGCAAATTATTCAAATCAATAGAATACTGAATCTCAAGGAGCCCCTCTCTCTCTCTCTCTCTCCTCTCCAAATTAACATTGCATTCTAAGATGGAAATCGATTCCCTCATTTACTATTCAGTCCATAAGTTTTAATTAAATCTCCCTTTAGAAAAATTTCTTTTTTTCTTTTTCAAACAAGTGTTGCTTTCAATTAAAAAAAAAAATCCTTTTATCTTAGACTTACATTTATTTATTATTGTTTATTTACTTTCAATTTAATCAGGGAAACTTTTTTTTCCCCCGATAAAAAAGTTTCAAGTCAAAGAAAATTCTTTATTACTAATTTATAAGTTTTGATAAAATTTAATTTAAATTGGATTTAAAAAAAAAAGTTTTTTCTTTTTCTTTTTCTTCTAAGAAATTTAATGATTTTAAAAGAAAATTTAAATGTTGTGCATATGGAAATTTTAAATAATATTCGAGTACAGTTAAAATTCGTTTCCGCTAAAGTGAGAATAAATTGTCGAGGACAATTTCCGTAGTTTTTTTTTTTTTTTTGTCAACTAGCGTTGCAAAATGAGGAAACAGAATGAATATTACTGTCAACGCGGGATAAAATTTCAGAAATTATCACGCGCATCGTACAAATTTTTTTTTTTTTTTTTTATTATTTAAAATTATTATACGGCCTCGTCATTCGAGTTGAGAAAAACACGTGTTACAAACTCATGCCAACTTATTCGTATACTGTTTTGTTTCATCGTTCGTTAAAATTAAACCAACCAGCCAAATTGAAGATTATACAACACATTTATATTATTTATCAAAACAAACAAAAGAAATTATTTATTTGTTTTTTAAATTAATATTTAAAAAATTATTTAAATAATTTATTTAAATTTCAATTATTTAAATTTTTTTTCCTCTTAATTTTTCACTATAAAGAAAATAAAAAAAAATTTGATTTATCGTTAATTTCTTTAAAAAAAAAAAATGTTTTTCTTTTTGCTGTAAAATGATTTGTCAGTTTTTTTTTATTTGAAAGGAAAAAATAAAGATTAATTAGAAAAACAATCGTGAGTTTTAAGTTAATGAGTAATCGTTTGGGTTTTCTAAGCATGCAAGACCAATTTACAATCGTTAAATATTAAGTAGACGACTAATTGTTGCATAAATTTTTGTAATCGCGCAATAATAAGATCTCATTGAGTGGATTTCTTTTGTCATTATTTTACTATATATATATATATATATATTTCACACGGAAGTGTGCGACGAATAATAATCATGGCCATTAGTTAAATGATAAATCATGTTGTGACCATCCCATAAATAGAGACGTGTGGTTTAAGCGCATCTTTCAAAAAGTATAAAGGGGAAGAAAATTCCGGGTGGAGTATATACTGCATTCAGTAATGTCTCGATTATTTTTTGAACCCTTACTCAAAATTTTTTATCCCAAAAATTTTTTATAAATAAAAAATTGAAAACAAAGAAAAAGAAAAAAATATTTTTTTTCTCGTATATTTTTTCATTTTCCCCCACAATGAAAATTCAATAAAAAACAATTTATTATCTTAAAATTTTCACTAGAATCAAAATATACTTTTATCTAAATATAAAATCGAGATGAAGATCTAAATTTAAGATTCTATTTCATTTCTATGAAATTTTATTCGAGAGTTGAATTACGACTATATGAGAGAGAAAAAAAAAGAAAATTGAAAAATATTTTGATTTATTTCGCTCTATTTTCAAATATACAAATATATATACATATAAAAAAAAGCAAAAGTTTTTTAAATTTATCTCTCGCGAATCAACGCAGTAAAGACTTGGGTTTATTGCCGAGTACGAGAAATTCGATTAGATTGGATTAATTAAAATCGATTTGCAAGAAAATTGATAACTCAGCGGAAATGTTATCACGGATGGCAAAGCTGAAAATTTAGATTTCACATCCGTATTAAATGTTTCTTGAAATGAGTTCATTTACTTTCATAATTAAGTCGATAATTAAGTCAAACCTAATTTTTTACTTAATAAATTAAAATAATTAAGTAATTAAATCAATATTAAAAATCCCCTCTCTTTTCTTTTATATTTTATCAGAATATTCTAATCAGCCAATATATATATATATATATATATATATATGAGTTATTAATAGTAGGTTCATTATTCATTGAACTGGAAAAATTGCTGAATAAGAAAATTATAAACGTATTTTACAAAACTTTGGAAATCAATTTTTGATCGAGTTTTATAAATTAAATTCAAAAATTTTCGTTTATAAAATAATTTTTTGTTTTTCTACTAAAATTCATAGAGTGGAAAAAAATATTAGAAAGAAAAATAAATATAAAATATTTTAATGAAATTATATGTGACGAAAAAAAAAAAGAAAATGATTTCAAAAGTATGAACTTGAATTCAATAAACGATCAATAATGATTATTATTCATGAGGTTCTTATGTGAGAGAGAAGACAAGGTTTTTTTTTGTTCTCTTTTTTTAAATTCCATTAGTCTGGAAATAACTGGATATTCCGGAGAGAATCTTTGAATACTAATATAATTTATTTTTTACACATGATGGTAAAAAAAAACCTCTAATGTAAATTTATATAAAGTAAAATTGAAAAGTTAAAAAAAGGGCTTTCCACATAATTCTGAACAAATGAAGTTTTTTCTTTTTTTTATCTTTTCCTTCCCTACAGTTTTTTTTCCCCTTCAGCTGAGAATAATTAAGGTCGTGGCACAGATTTTAGCATAAGCGCGTACAATTGTCAGCCATCCAGTATATTTTCCTCAAAGAAAAAGCTTTTCTCGATAAGTAGGATGTAACATCTCAGAGACTTGGGTTTTTATATAATCTTAAAATAAAATGAAAAATGACTTTTTTTTCGAGATTAATTACAAAAAATGAAAAATAATAATACTTATTCCATTTTTTTACAATATGTAATAAATTTTAATATTTTCAAAAAGAAAAATCAAAAAATTTTTTTCTTTTAAGAGAAAATTGAATAAAATTTATTTATTAATAAATTATATTTGGTATAAATTATACTTAGTACGAATAAAAAATTTCTTTGTAAATAAAATTTGAAAATTATATTTGTTTTTAAAAAATTTTATAAAACTTTTAATTAAAATTAAATAATTTCTTTCTTTCTTTTTAATTTAATTAAATTATAATTAATTATCATTGGTGTTTTAATGAATTACAAAATATTGAGTAAAATTTTACATATATTTAGTATACTTTTAATTCAGTTGAAAGCCAGAATGTTCTATTTAATTTGATTGAATAATAAATGAAATAATTTTAAATTAATTCATTTGAACATGAATTATAAATAA